ATAATCAAAAATCAAGGGTAAAGTTCTCAAATGAGTGCAGAACGCATCTGAGGTGTGTAAAAACAACCGATTAACACCTAATTATAATTTCGAAATATTGTTTTTAAAATCGAGACTGCATTTATAATGTTTTTTGGATCTTAATTTCTGGTTATCTGGCATACGTCTCGTTTTCTGACGCAAATAAAATACATATGTAATATAAAAACAAAAGGGAGTGTTTTATGTGCCATTAATGATTAGGAAGTCACAGTCAAAGACCATTACCACAAATGTTTCTCAACACCTTTATCACCACCCTAATCAACATTTTTGGCTGTAACACTCATAGCCGAAGGAATGGCGGAGGAGAGAGGAGAGTCAATTCTTTATGCTGTTCTCCTCTGTTTGACAGATCAGAAACCGTACTGACCGCAGGCTGGGCAAAAATATGCTAGCACAGTGTTCGTGTCTGCTGTTGAACATACAAATAAAACACAGCAGAACTTGATTTTTTTTCTCTCTCTCTCATAGTGCTTTGTTCTTCGTATCCGTTGTTGCCCTAGGCTGGCCAAAGTTAAACTGACAGGCTTCAGCTCTGCCAGCCTTTAAAAAGTTAAGTGACTGTTGAGGTCAGCGGGGCCCAGCGAGCCAGATCTCACCACTCACTGGTCCGTTGCTTGGTGGTGTCATAGGCTCTGATAACCTCAGACTGGGAGAGCACTCCGTTCTCATCCTGTGAGAATGCGTAGCCGTCTGTAAACAGGACCCAGAAAACATGCATCAGATAAATACACTCAACTAAACATTCTGCTGGCAAACTTACAAGACAAGTGATACAAATTAAATCATATAAAAACATGAAGCAAATAAAATAAACAACATACAATGAGATGGGGAAAAAAATGCTCATTTTGTTTCTCTAGCACGAGTCTTCTCTTAAATCATCACCAGGGTGTTCACTTTGAAAAATAAATAAAATATTTCTTAAATCAGAAGGAAAATAATGTGTGCATACAAATAGTAGTAATAGTACCTTTAGGTTGTCATTTTGTTTTGAAAAAAAAAGAAGAGAAAATTATGTAAGGCCTTTAAATTTCTAAATAATATTAATTATATAAAATTATATTATTCATGTATTACATAAATGATATATTATATATAACATTTATTTAATGAAGTAAAAATAGACCATTATAGTTGATTTATTATGAATAAATCTTTATGGCCATAAATAAATATATATTTGCGCCGCAATAAAAAAAAACAAACAAACATATATATATTGTCTGTAAACTCAAAAGAGGATTCAAGGACTGTCTGGATTATTCTGTTATTGGGAATCTACAATGACCTACATACACTAATGGGACCAAAATGGCTGAAAATATTTGTAGTGGTCCAAATTTAAGGCAGCAA